CGCCGAGACACTATATGAAAGGATATGGGAAGGGGACATAGCTAGTGCAGAAAATAAACAATCGAAGGACGTGCATATCAGTTATAGGTGAACCCAGCCCGCCTATGCCTACGGAGACCGATGCCGAGACACTGTGTGAAAGGGTATGGGAAGGGGACTCAGCTAGTGCAGGGTATAAACAATCGAAGGACGTGGATATAAATTATAGGTGAGCTCAGCCCGTCTATGCCTATGGAGACCGACGCCGAGACACTATGGGAAAGGGTATGGGAAAGGGACTGAGCTAGTGCAGGGTATCAACAATCGAAGGACGTGGATATAAGTTATAGGTGAACCCAGCCCGTCTATGCCTATGGAGACCGACGCCGAGGCACTCCATGTAATAGTATGGGAGAGAACTTAGTTAATGTGAGGTATAAACCATCGAAGGATGTAAATACATGTGAGTGATTTCGTGAACTCTCCGCTACGTAGCAAAACGTCTACGCCTGCAGAGGCCGATGCGTAAACCCTGCAGGAGACCGTTCCCGGAAGCGGACGTATACATACAGTGATGTATGGAATATTATAGAAAGTAGTGATAGGTGTTAGAGAAGAATAACCGGCGGAGGGGTCATAGACTTAGCGCAGCTGTATGTGTGAGGATCGGCTTTTGACATGCGTGCTGTAAGGATGGTGTGGCGTTATATACCGGTGGCATATGGGGGTATCTACCCGAGCTCGTTGTATTGTGTGGTGTAACGCAGCATATAACCAAAGCAATACCGAGTAAGCTGTACAGGTAGGGCAATTTATCTTCCAGTATTACATATTCTTACCATCTACCTTTTAGTCTCCTTACCTCTTCCACCCTTTTCCGCCTACAGCATGAGATTTTACCCTTACATACAGTTCAGTACTTTTCCATCCTATTCATATTCCCGTCTCACTTATTTATGTATCTATGTGATTCTCCTTGTACACAATACGCAGTGTGTATACGGGTGGGTTGTTTGTGACATACAAAAACCAAGCGGTGTTACGAGATGTTGGAGCGTGCTATATAACACTTTGTAGTGTCGTGAGATACCGCAGAAACTGCAATGTGCAGATGGACCCGGAATGCACGATGAAGTGCTTGAGTGTGTTATGTGGAATGCACGATGAAGTGCTTGAGTGTGTTATGTGGAATGCACGATGAAGTGCTGAGTGTGTTATGTGGAATGCACGATGAAGTGCTTGAGTGTGTTATGTGGAATGCACGATGAAGTGCTTGAGTGTGTTATGTAGAATGCACGATGAAGTGCTTGAGTGTGTTATGTGGAATGAACGATGAAGTGCTTGAGTGTGTTATGTGGAATGCACGATGAAGTGCTCGAGTGTGTTATGTGGAATGCACGATGAAGTGCTTGAGTGTGTTATGTGGAATGAACGATGAAGTGCTTGAGTGTGTTATGTGATAAGATGAGATACAACAATGTAGTACCAGAACTGAGGAGCAAAAAATTAAGCAGCCGTCGGAGGTGCAACAGTATGATACCAGATGATAACACACACTCCGCGGCACTACGAGAAACAAAGGCTACTTACTATGAGGTACGTATGCGCCAGAAACTTCCCTCAATGCAAGCAGGCTGAATATGAGCAGAAAACTGGAATACAAGTCATCAGATTGTACACACTCGATATAAAACAATGGGATGTTCACAAATAAGACGAAAAACTTACAGCAATAGTGGCCAGAAGCCCAGCTCATCCGCTTCTGGATAATTGTCCGGTAGGGCGGATTGTGGCGATACCCACAATGGCCGTAGTCGCTTACTACCCATTTGCGCACTCATGTCGTCAAGCGTACCTACGCATGCAACCGCAAGGGAGACATACAGGACTCTGAGAGACGGTTTTTCGTATAAGATGAACGATACGGTTTATGCAAGTCACGACGTACATACTCGCCAACTTCCTGCTGTTTGTATAACTACTAGCTATCCTGCAACGCTGCAGGGCTCGAGTATCCAGACGCAATGGGGCAAAACCTGCGCGTGTCTGTGTTCTCTCTCGGCAATGACTAATCGCTATCTTAACTTTCTCGTGCAATGCCCAATGGTGGGCAGGCGAGCGTTCACAGGGACTTCGGATTCGGCAGTCAGGCCTAGATAGCTTCTCAGCCCCAGCGCATCATGAACCGTTGCAGCAACACAGATGCAACTACCTGAGAGACGTACTTTCTGTTAGGGTTCGCTCAAGCTTCACGAGCCATTGCTCCATCATGCTCTCCAGTTGAGCCTTTTCCATGGCCGATACCATGGTTGGTAGCACATACAGGTTGAATGGCAGCTGGGTTTCGGGGTCAACCTTTGCCTCGGGGAATTGTTTGTGCATGTCCTGTCTCTGCCGATGTTGGTAGCGGTCGACAACGGCGTTCACACAGGCCGCCCAGATGGGCACTGTCCGTGACATGCTGCAAGAGGTGAACCGAGAGGAAAGAATTTAACGTCCGACGGTGTAGGTGTAGGTAAGGTACCAGCCATCGAGCTAAGTTAGTAGCTTCTACATATACTGGCATAGAGGGGGGCCACAAACGACTGACAAGCTGCGTATGAGGACAAGGATACTGGTTCATAGGAGTGTAGACAAGAACAATCTTTGTATATCCTCTTGTACGCGTATGGATAGTACTTGGGCACGTTGAGCACATGGCGCAGGCTAGTGAGAATTACTCAGCGGTGAAGGATTAAAACTGTCCAACAACTGATGAAGGTGTGCTACATGGGAGACGTTCCTGTAGAGATAACGGATAGAGCTACCGCCTGATACGAAGGTCTGCACTACACACGCGGGTGTGTATAGATGGCGTTGTGTAGTATGCAGCTGACAACGCCAGCGTGAGCATAGTATGGCGGAGGGAAGATTTGCACTCGGGTGCGTAACCAAGCACGGACATAACGCCCGAGAACAAACCAAACGCAAACGCGGCATGCACACATACCGGCGCACTTGAGGCCGTGAACGCCAAAGTAAAGAGCCACACACCAATCCGACCAGATACACCGGCACACATCCCTACCTATCGGGAAACCGTTTCCTCCGCGAACTATCGACGAGCATGAAGCCACCGCTTGTTTGCAGATGTTTCAGCAAGTGGAGATTCAACCGCCGCATATTCAAGTCACACATGTGGGAGTGCCCATCCGTTGACTTGAAGTAGGCGTGGTCGTCGAAAGAGTTACTGTACCAGAGACCACACCTGTTGTAGTACGGGAATGATGAGATACTGGCTGGTAGCATACATGCGTCCTGTGTTGGAGCTTGTGTGAATACCTACATATGTCTGCACACACGTTTATTCGCACCTGTAGCTGGTCATATATTGATAATCGTGGACATACCTATGTGGATGTGTATTGAACAATGTGTATATGTGCAAATATAGTTTCATGGACATACGCATATTCGTCATTCCATCTATATTAAAAATACTTATCTATACAAAATTAGGCCGCACGTTTCAATATAAAATCAAAATATACATAGACCTTTAAATAAAGAGATAGAGGCTACTTTGCGCTTGTATATATTTACGAATTTGGGGTATAAATTCCAAGAACATGTATACTTCGTAGCCAATATAAAATTATATAGGAATATATTTAGAACGATATCTAAATACGATGACGTATACATAATATACATATAATTGAGTGTGTGTGTATGTGTGTGTCTATGTGTGTGCGTGTGTGTATGTGCATGTGCGTGTGTGTGTATGTGTGTGTGTATGTGTGGGTATGTGTGTTTAGTATGTATGTGTGTGTGAGTGTGTGTGTAAGTGTA